GGAAGGCCAGAGAAAGTGGACTTTAGTCCCAGATTAAGGCACATTCATGAGGAGAGGTATGTTTATATGAATAGAATCTTCTAGAAGCTTTTTTATGAACCCATTTGAAAGGGCCACTCTCCTTAGCTCCACCTCCTCTTACCAGCCATATCAGTTGTGAGGGGGAGTAAATGTGACTTAGCCCACTGGTCCCTCAATTTCCTCACCTGGAAAGTGGGTTAAAATTTGACTCTGGTGGGGTATGGTAGCACATACTTTTAATCCTAGCACTTGGGAGACAGAGGCAGGCCGTTGGTGCTCTGGGAACTCAAGACTAGCCTGGTCTACATAGTGAGTTTTTAGCCATCCAGGGCTACACAATGAGATGCTGTTGAAAGGAAGAAAGGAAATATTAACTCTGTCTCCAAAGACCTGTTTTAGAGCCTGGTGTGACCTTCTCGTTTATAAATATCAGCCACTCTTGGTTTGATTAGTATCATATTCTCTCTTCTCAAGGCAGGGATCAGCCGTACCAGGGCCTGTGGGCTTGAAGCCAGCTCTGGGGACAGCTAAGCTCTCTAGCTCTTGGTACCCCGCAGCTGCATGGCCCTGGCAGCCAATCACACATGGTTTCCCCATGCAGCAGCCAACTCGGCTAGATGGAATGGGACTGCCTTTGAGGCTGAACTGGCAGCAGGTGTGGGCTCTGCGTGGCTCAGCAGTAGAATTCTTGGATGGGTCCTCATCCGGAGATGGGTTTGTATGTGTGTGTGTGAATAAAGTCTTTGTAACGCTCCCTCATCAGGTCAACTATGTATTTCTTTTGTTCTCTCTGCTTCCTCAACACTGTTCTGTGCATTTTCTCTTGTGCCCCCTCCATGTGTGCTTGCACACATGTGTGTGCTGCACTGAGGATTGAATCTAGGGCCTTGTGCATTCTAAGCAAGTCTTCTACCACTGAGCCACACCCTCAGCCCCTCATTGGAGGATTCTAGGAAGAGCTCTACTGCTGAGCCACGCCCCCAGACCCCTGGGGGATTCTAGGCAAGTGCTGTACCAATGAAGTATATTTCTTGTTGCCCTTTTTATTGTTTTGAGAAAGGATCTCATGTAGCTGGCCTTGGATTTGCTATATAGCCATGATGACTTTTAACTCCTGACCTTTCCGCTGTCACCTCCCGAGTGCTCGAGTTGCAGAGATGCACCAGCCCTCGTGGCTTCACTTTGTGCATTTTCAAGTTCTGAAGAGGGACCTGGGCTGGAGTGGATAAAGATAGTTGTCCAACCACAGAGCAATATGAGCCACAGTTTCTGCGTATGCTCAAAAGTATTAGGCAAGGATAAAAGGTGTGGACAGCAGGAAAATCCTTATCTGCAACTGAAGTTTACAAGTTCAATCCCCAGCACCAGACATTAACCAATTAATCACACAGAAGTACCCAGCTTCTAGGCTAATACCACATCCTCTGTATAAAGGACCTGAATATCTGTAGATTTGGGGAGTATGTGTTGTAATCCAGGCAGGCCTGGCTCTGCCCCTTAGGAACCTGACACAGTGCACCACTCCTCTGCACATGTTAGGCAGTACTCTGGCTCTGTTTGCAGGTGCAGAGATCCTTTTAAGAGTCAAGCTCTGCCCACTTCTGCTCTCTTTTTTTTTTTTTTTTTTTTCTGGCCATTTCTCTGAGGAGGCAGACAAATCTCTGTCTGTCTCTCTGACTCTTTTCTTTCTCTTCCTCTCTCTCTGTCTTTCTCTCTCTTTCTTCTCTCTTCCCCTAGCTCTCCCTTCCCTGGCTCCCTTCCCTTCCCTATAAAACTTCCTTCCCACGTAAGTTCTGCCTGATGGTGTGTTTGTCCTCTGCCATGGGATCCACCACTATCCCACTGGGGTCCAATTCCTAGCAGTATGAGGTCCTAGAATTCCAAAGGTTGACTGCAGTCAACTGGTCGTTGGCATTGACTTACTCCACATGTCCTTGGCCACCTGCTCCCTTCCTGGTCCATGGTCCCTTGGCTAGAGAGAAAACAGTTGGCTTAGGGATGTCGGAGATCCCCATGGCTTAGACAGTCTCCACAGTGTGGCCTTTGCCACCCACTCCCCACAGCCCCAGGGATATGCCTGGCTTGAACGCCCCTCATCCTGTCCTTGGTCACCTTCCAGCCTGTGGTCTAGGACTGGAATGGTGCCTGGCTTGGAGGGGTTTTATTTAAAGAGCCACCCTGAGCTGTCCCCAGACCTGCTGCAGCACTCCAAAGCACGCCAGACCATGGTAGGCTGGGGCCACCTTCCCTGCACTCCCCCAGTTTCCATGCAGCGAGCTCAGCACCCGGCTTTGGTTCTCTTCCTGCTTCCCTCTCAGCTCCAACCTCAGTCCTGACCTTGCTCAACTCTAGTCTCGTCTTGGGGACCTTGATGTTGTGTGCAATTCTGGACTTTCCCTTCTCAACTTTGACCTTGCTCCTTTCACTGGTTCCCTCAACTGGCAGTTATGGGCCATTGACTATGTGTTGATACTCGAACTTGGTCAACCCTGTGTTGTCTCTGTTGGGTATCCAGTCTCAGAGGTGTCCAGTCTCATCCAGGTGGCTTCTTTTTGTTTGTGGTGTGTGTTTGCATGTGTTCCCATGTGTGCAACTGTGTGTGCCTCCATGTGTGAAGACCAGAGTCACCTCTAGTGTTGTTCCTCGGGTCCATTCATCTTGTTTTTGTTTTTGAGACAGGGTCTTTTACTGTTAGCTGGAGAGTACCAACTGGGCTAGAATGGCGGTGGCCCAGTGAGGCCCAAGGATCTCATTCCCTCATCCCTCACACTTGGATTATAGGCACATGCTACCAATATCTGCCTTTAACATGGGTCTGGTTTTGGTGCAAGCAAGACCATCACTCTACAGACCGAGCTGATTCCCAGCCTGCCATCTACATGGGTTCTGATTTGGTGATGTTCATTGATTCCATGAAGGTTTCGGGATAAGGAAGAGGTGTGTGGAGAGAGAGAGAGTGGCCTGGTCTGACTGGCTTCATAGAATGTAGGGCAATGTTCTCCCTGGGAGGATAAGGTTCCTGTTGCCTGCTGCGCAGGGGCTCAAATTGTAGCATTCTGGAGGTGTGGGTTTCTCTCAGGCCCTGCAGCTGTCCCCTGCCTGGGACTCAGCATCTGTCCTTCCTTTTATCACCTTGTATTAATGGCCCATCTCCTGCAGGGCTGTAAGCTCTTTAGAGACAAGGAGGGGGACTGATTCCTCTCAGGGTGCTGGGGACTATACCCAGGCTTTGACTGGGGGCCAGCAGGTGTCTTGTAATTGTTCTGATAACTTGACATGGGCATTATTCCAATTTGATAAGTGAAGACTGTTGGGGTGTGGCATCCATGAGGCTTTGCATTCCACCCTCAGCACCACATATACTGGGCATGGTGACACATGCCAGTCATCTCAGCACTTGGAAGGTGGAGACACAGAGGTCAGAAATTCAAGGTAATCCTTTGCTACATAATGAGTTTGAAGCTAGCCTGGGCTATGTGAGACTCTGAAAAAAAAAAAGTGGGTGTATATAAGCAGGGCAATGGAGACTTAAAGAATGTGTCTTATGTTGTTTGTGTGTGATCTGAGTACAGATCAGGTGTCCTGCTCTGTCACTCTCTACCACATTCCCTTGAGACAGGGTCATTCACTGACTCTGGAATTGGTCTAGTCTCCATCTCCCCTAGCATTAGAGTTACAACTGTGTGGGCAAAGGCACCTGGATTTTCTTGTGGGTTCTGGGAATTTGAACTCTGGTCTTCCTGTCTCTCCAGGAAGCACTCTTACCCACTTGCCCATCTCTCTTGTCACAATATCTGCCTTTCATCACAAAAGCTATGATGAAAACTGAGGTCTGGGTGACCCCCTTCTTCCTTGGAATGTTCCCTTTGGGATAAACTTACCTTTCAAAGGTGCAGTATGAACTTAAACTTTCAAGCCAGATAAAAGATAACCCCTTCCTGCCTTGCAGAGTTCTAACCCCCGGGAGGGCCTGTGACCAGGTGGACTTGACAGGCCAGGGTGGAGAAGGCATACGGATGTGTGTGTGTGTGTGTGTGTGTGTGTGTGTGTGGGTGTGTGTGTGTGTTTGTGTGATGGGGTGAGGGGGGGTTGCAGTCCTGAGAATGGGTAGATATCCTGCCAACGGAAGTGATCATTTTTTAATAATCAGAGGGAAATGTATATGCAATTATGTGAGATGAACTAGGCATGGAGTTCTTTTCTTTATGATATCTGAAGGGATTTATAAACATTCCCTAGGCTTACAACATCCCACGTGTGGCCTCTTTGCCAGGCACCCCCTTTCAAAGGATTATTCAAGATTAGCACCCAGTAAAAGCTAATTATAAGCCACTGGGTTGTTGCTCCTGACATGTGCCCAGGACCCCTAGGGAATTGAGGGGAGAGTGGGGTGGGAGTTGGGGGACCACACAGGTACTGGGAGGGAGGCAGGAAACTGGGGAATCCCCAGCAGGCGGGACTAGACGAATGCTTGGAGAGGGAGAGGGTTGTGGGCTGGGGGGAGGGGGAGATGAGCCCAGACTTTTGTTCCTCTCTGATATCAAGAGTTGCTTTAAGGGGCTGGGGAGAGAACTGTGTTGGCCGCATGCTTGCTCTGTAAACATGAGGTCCTGAGTTTGGTCCCCAGAACCCAGGTGGGGAAAAAAAGTTGGATGTGGTGGCACAGGCTTGTAATCCCAGTGTTGGAGATAACAATCCTGGGCTCACTGGCCAGCCAGCCCAGCTGAACAGGTAAGCTCTGACCAAGGAGAGGTCCTGTCTCTAAAATATAACCGAGAGGTGGCTCAGCAAGTAAAAGGTGCTTGCTGCCAAGTCTCAGGTCCCGAGTTCAAACCCTGGTTCCCACATGGTGGAAGAAGAGAGACAGCCAACTCCTGAAAACTGTCCTTTGACCTCCACATACATACATGCTGACATGTGCTTACACACACACACACACACACACACACACACACACACACA